AGTCCTCTGCTCAATCTGACCTGTATTGCAGCCTGGGATTAAACCACATCAAGCTGGTTTCGTCTGGTCAGAGGACTGAGCCTGGTTTCTCTCAAGGTTTTTTTCTCCATTCCTTGCCACTGTTGATTTTGCTTGCTTAGTTGCGGACACAATTTCTGGCAACATTGTTGACTTGACTGCACCGACACTATTTGAAGAGAACTGAACTGAGCTGGATGATGACATCACTGAATCAACAATGAACTGACTTTAACTGATAAGCTGACTGTTTTCTATTGTCCTCCTGCATTATCAGCACACGTTTTTCCTGTTTAAAACTGCAAAGCTGCTTTGACACAATCTGTATTGTATAAAGCATTATATAAATAAAGGTGACTTGACTTGACTATGGTGAGAGGAAGCCTTACAACACTCCTCTGTAAAAGCAGTAGCCAAGGAGGCTAACAACTTGGCACTACTGCCTGGCTGAGCTGTAAGGATGGAGGCTCTGCATAACGACTCTCTAAAGCGAGAGGACTAACTAGGCCCTACACTCGGGACAACTTCCCAAGGAGGCTCACAGAGAGCCTAACCACTCTGAGCTGTTATCCCAGCTGAGATCTAGGAAACGGAAGCCTCAGCAGGACGTTCCTCTTAAAAGGCAGTTGATAAGGAGGCTCACAGAGAGTCTAGCAACTTATAGCCCCTAGCTGAGCTCACAGGACAGAGGCCTAGCATAACAACTCTCAAGCGAGAGGCGGCCTAGCTACATTCTACGGCTCTCAAGGAGGCCTAAGAGAGGGCCTAGCAACCAGGAGGAGCTCAGGGGAGCAGATGCCTTAACAGGACGACTTTCTATAGTGAAAGGAGGCCTAACAAATGCTTCCAACCCAGGAGTACCAAGGAGACTCACAGAGAACCTGCAACTCAGTATCACTGCCTAACCAAACTCTAAAAACAAAGGCCTCAGTATGACAACTCTCTAAAGCAACAGGAAGCCTAACTACGGTCAACACACAGGACAGATGCCAAGGAGGCTCACAGAGAGCCTAACCACTCAGAACTGCTATTCATGTGGAGCTCTGGGGAGCTGAGGCTTCAAAGAGACGGCTCTCATAGCGAGAGGAGGCTCTTAATTAAACCTCTTGAGTTCGTCGAATGCACCGGCGCGTTCAGTTGCATTTTTTTCCTGATAACGGTGAAAAGAACTGAAATGCTCCGTAATTTTTTGGTTGTATAGATAAGAGTAATACATCATTAGAATATGTAAAGAGTCTACTTTTATTTGTATACACTCACAATAACAACAAAACATTGTGCTTTTGTAAAATAAAGAAAATAAACAGGGTGCAATTCCTGCAGTCTCAGTCTCTGTGAACTTCTTTCTGAAATGTGTCAAAAGAAAAGAACCAAAATGCACTTGACACACAGACATGAGAAATATGCCTATAGAAAGCTTAAGGTGTCTACCTTTAAATGAATTAAGTCATATTGAAAACAACTATTCTCTGATAAAGTAATCTGCATGAAACCAAGGAGAGGTACAGTGTTTCCCGTCTGATCTCATTATCTGTAAAGTGGTCACACCCATGCGTAGCACACGCTATTCATACGGTAATCATCCATGTGACATGCTCAAACCTGAAAACAGCCCATCACCTCCATAAACAAAGCAGCAAGATTCATAATGTTCATCTAAGCTAATTTTCGTTTTTTGGAAGACGACAAACTGTGAGGAAAAAGCCTTGTGTTTAAGCCTTGTGATGCACGGCTTGATCCAGTGGAGGATATCATTGATCATTGAGTAAGTAATTTTTCATAGTTGTATTAGTTAACATGTTATTGTGACATAAACTTGTACACATTTTAATAGTTGGACTATTCCAGACTAAAATGTATGAAATTGAGTGAAATATTTTTGGAGTGAAATATTTTCACTGATGGGCCATTAGGAGAGGGGCCCTTTGTCTCTCAGGTGCTAACCACATAAATGTCACGAATGTCAGGGCATGTCAAAACTTCTCCAGGGCCCAAAAACACCTTCAGACCCCAGAGGGTTAACCAGGGAGCCACCAGAGAGCCTAACAACCTGACACAACCCTAATTCGAGCTCCAAGGAACGAGGCCTCAACATGACGACTCTCTAAAGCGAGAGAATCCCTAATTATGTCCTATTCAAGAATAGCTATCAAGGAGGCACACCTAGCACAACAGCAGAGGGGACGGATTTATTAATAATATAAGCCCCAACTCTCTCTGCATCTAATACGTTTGAATTAGATGTTCCACATTACTTAGTTTACTTAGCTCACATTTATCAGTATGAAATAATCAGAAACAACAGGAGGAATTCTGAAAGGGAAAGCACTTCCTGACAGATTCCTTCCATGCTCCGCCTACAATCCCCGTGATCGATGGCACCTAACCGCTCTGATGGCAGCAGAACCTGAACCGCGGGAAGCAGGCGCAAGAGTTAAACATCGGTGGAGCTTCTCACGGTGACCACATAACACAGCATGCATTCAAATATTTTGAGGAAACGTGCAAGAACAAATGATGTAAACCAGATTTTATGTACTCCCTTAATTTTTTATCAAAATCTTCTGTCATTTGTTAAGGTTCTAGAGGAAAAACAGCATAAAGTACCTGATTGGGGACTCTGGCCATTGGAGTAGGGTTGGTCTGGAAGGACTGATGAGATCTCTGCGGCCTACTCTGACACACAGAGGGGCGGAGCTGAGGGGCGGAGGCAAGATTTTCTTTTGCCCAATCATCAACCAGCTTGTGTAGGTCATCGGTGAAGGTACCGCTTTTGTTGTTGCTGTTGTTTGCTTGAGCCTGAACGAGCACCGTGATCGGCCGAGAGGATGAAGCAGGCATGGCTGCGGGAGGCAGGTTCTGATTGGATGCTGAAGTCACATGGGCAGCACTAGTACTGTGAGACCCTGAGAAAGAGATTGAGAAAGACCTCAAGCAACAACTCAGAGAATTCCCCTGAGGTCCTCTGTAACCAACCTGCTGCTCACTGACTGCTGATGTCATTCATCACGTTACACAGTGAAGTGTGGTTAATACAAATCCAGCCCTAATGAATAGATGCAATATTAGGTGTGTAAACATTTGCTTTGACAATGCGTTAAAGGGGTCATATGATGCGATTTCAATTGTTCCTTTCTCTTTTTTTTAACCTTAGACCGCATAAACACATTTCATTACACCAAATAATGTCCTTTTTAGCAGCATTATATGACCCCTTTAATAAAGTTTTTAATAAATGATGCACTATTCATACTTGGTGTTGGAGATTCATAATTATTTTCAACAATACGCTAAAAGCATAATTGTGACTGGAGAGGCAACTGAACATGCTCCTGCCAAAAGTAGGGTTGAGTATGTGGATGTGCCACCTTTTGACAACTGACAAAGAAGTCGTTTACAAAATAGCTTGGTGTTTGAATGGCATTACAATTCAGCTGAATTTTGGGGCCTGGACATAATGTACGAAAGGTTGTGATAAACTGTGAATATGCTCACGTCTAAAGAAATGACACAGCAGACTTCAGTTGTTTTTTTTATAAAATGGTTAATGCATAAAACAAATTTGCACCCTTAATGTTTTTTTTAATGGGTGAATCATGTTTTAGCCAGAACCACATCAGGTGCGCTTGAACTGAGATGGTGGATCTGATCGTATCCGTGTTTGTGTACTTGTGCACTTCTTGTTGAGTACTTGTTTCTAGCCTAAAATCAAGCAGCTGGATGATTACAGAACCAAAGAAATAACAAACACCCATACACATATGCACTTAAATGACCGGGAATACAGAAATCATAAAGGTTTCAGTAAGCACTTGACTGTATCGCACAGGTATCACCATGCACTAGAAAAAAATATTATTCAAATTAATATAAAGAATCAAAACGGTGACGCACATTTCACAATCTGCGGCTGCAAATGTTAAACACTTATCACACAAGTGATTGCTCATGCCAAAAAAAAAGAAATTAAAATGGCAAATAAAAAAAGAAAAAAGAAAGACAGAGGGACTAGGACCGAAGAAGAAAGGAGTGGGATAGTTACTACTGCTGCGCTCTTTCCCTAGACATAGCCGTTTCAGAGTGGACCCTACAAGAGCAAAACAGCACAGACAGAGGCGTTAGGGGGCGGGGAAAAGCACACGGCACAGCCCATTGGACAAGCTGCTGCACAAGAAAACACCGCGACCAATCAGTGAACAGATACAGAATCAGGTGCAGGGAGGCTTCATCTGTGATATCATGAGGTGTTGTGTTGGTGAGTGACCTGTTTGAATGGCTCCTGAGCTAAAAAGGCCTTCAAGCTTGGACTCTAAAGAAACTTCAACACTCTTGTTTGACTAAATGTCCAACTTTAAAAACCCCATGAAATGGTTAGATGAGCACAATGTTCGTTTGTTCTTTCCTGGCTTATTTCCTATTGAAACAGGGAGTTAGTTTGGGACAAACTGAAGACAGCTGAATTCACACTTGACTGCTTATGAATGAAAGCAATGTAGACTCTTCACATTCAGCTCTGGAGGACCTCTCACCACCATCTTCACCTTTGCTATCCAAGGCAAGATTGGAGGGTAAAGCTCATGGTTATCACCACTAATGCCAGCTGTCAGTTCAGTTGCTTCTGTTGTAACATTAGAAGGGGGACAAGTATTATTTATAATAAGGGACATTCTTATTGTATCGAGCAGTTTATTGGACAATAAACCATACAGGGCAGATGACCTCAGAGCTAACAGACATGGACTAAAATCCACAACATTGTAACTGATTTCATGGGGTCTGTAAAAGGCAGGACTACATAACTGAATCATTGCTGACAATCGCTTGTCATCATATTTGGTACGTGTTTGTGGCAGTGAGTGAAAATACTGAGCATGTAAGACTAAAACTGATCTTCTCCTAAGCCTCTACTTTTAGAAGCATCACCATTTAAAACCAACAACAAACATCTTGGATGCATTAGAAAAAAAAATATCCATCTCAGTAAGCACAGTTATTTACAAGTGACTATTGTAACCAGGATTTCCATTGAGCTTTAAAAATATCATACTGTATAAATAACATCTAACATTTAAACACAGGAATAGTATAAATAAACCTAATTGAAGCATTACTATTGAAACATGAATACTATTAAAAGTGCTGCATGCTACATTTTAAATTACAAAGGGGGGAAAAAAGAAAGAATTTTTCACACAATGAAGGTTAGAATAATGACCAAATCATATACTTTTGACAAGGAGGGAGACGAAGTATAAAAAGAAATGGGCTTCCTAATCATAGTTATGACGCATTGGTCATGTTCAATTCATGTTTTTGTCCAAAATGAACCCTCAAAATGAACAAAATACTACAAGCTGTAACAGAAACACAAGGTAAATATAATATGCTTCTTGAACCGCATCATATTATAATCATGCAGGTGACAGCCAGAGAACAAGAAGTGAGATAAAACAAAATTAAAAATACGGCCCTGATGTTCTCCACAGCAACCTGCTCGTGCCCGTGGCATGCTCATCTTCTGACTCCAAACATGACACCGCACCTCAATCATCGTCTCATTGGGATTTTACGTGGAATGAAAATGAAAGAAGGCACAGATATACAGACGATACAAAAGCTTTGGCAGACATCCATACACACTCTCTCTGCTTTCAGTTAAATGTTAAGAATGGCCATGTTTGAGGAAAGACAGCTCATGATATCGGTCAAAGCTACAGCCCAGCACAAAGCGTTTGTACAGAAGACAAACTGAAGGCCAGATGAGCAGACATCCAGCTCGTTCCACGAACACGATACACTGTGGCACAAATCTCAAAATGTTTTTTATGAGAGCTTCTGGATATACAGGATAAACTATTATCTAATCATTTAGATCTTTCTACATACAGTATGGAGGACAGCGAGGTAAATAATAAATTTTCTTGTGTAGTTTTGACTGCATTTGTCAAGCTTAACCATTCAACTTTGAAAGATAAATGATCAAACTAATATTTTCTTTCAATTTAAAGTAAATATAAGTTCATCAAAAACTACAAGCCGAAATTTGCTCCCAAACTAGGAGCTTTGCCCCCTACTGAGTGACAGCTTCATTTAGGATTTAGGAAGTCTGCAACCCTGCTACCTATGATTTAATTTGATGTATTTTATTTTATATTTATTATTATTATTTTTAAGCTGCATTTTAACTGTAGACTGTTCACATTTACTTTGACCTCATGAGGTTGACAATTACTATTTTACGGAATATTACGCACCTCGTTTCACTTTTTATGTTTCGGACCCTATTTTGTACCGTATTCATGGGAAGTGCCATCTGAAATGAAGATGGAAATGTAATGGCTGAAAATGCCTGATGATCACTGAATGAGTGTGTGCATGAGTAATGGATGTGAACATGACAGAAATGCAGTACAGAATAACCAAAGCAAAATTACGAAAGAAGAGCAGAAAGAAACAGGGCAAAGGGAATTATGGGTAATAGAAGAAAAGTAGAACAAATACAAACAGATGGACATAGACACGGGTCCACTGAGGAATCTAGTGCGTGGTTTGCTACTAGATTTATAGGTGATTCGCTCAGATGTTTGGTGGTAAACGGTCCAGCCTGTGGAGAAATGAATATAAGAGGGAGAGGGAGAGAGAGAGAGAGAGAGAGAGAGAAAGAGAGAGAGACAGGTGTAACAGCCGACACAGGTAGCGGTCAGATCAGTACCCCATCAACAAGCATCATATCAGCAACACGCCACAACACTGGTTAAGTGTCTCAGAAAACAGCGGTTAATGTAGATGTGGAAGTGTTGTTTCTAACAATGGGAATGCTTTTCTGCAGTCTATATAACAGTCCTCTTATGCATCACTAGACATTTTCACACATGAAATCTATATACGGGCAAAGAACTGTAAAATTGCCATACAGTATTAACCATTCACTCCAAGAAGATTAGCTGGTTTTACTTGTAACTACACCATTATGCTACTATGTCTTCTAGGGGTGGGTGATAAGACCAAAATCTTATTTCACAGTATGAGAAATTTTATTTCACGATAACGATATATATATTTTACGATATATATATTTTTTGTTATTAAAAATAAGAAAAAGCAGCAAATTATTTAACATGTAGTAAGACATTTTTGCAGAAATTGAATGAAGTGTATAAATAAAACACTGCAAAGTCTTCACTGTATCAATCAAACATGAACTGATTCTTATTAAAGATCCAAAAGTGATTCAGTCAAGTGCAGTGAGTGATTAACATTAATAATGACAGACAGCAGCAGGTAAATTAGACTGCTGTCACTTTAAGACAGACTGCATGGATCCACTATACTGAAACACATCCGGTTTTCACCCAGCTGTTTACATTTATTTAATACATAACCGACTGTGTTTATGTGAATACTGCACACGACGGGCATTTTGACATAATTGTGTGCGTATTTGACCATTCAAGCACGAAAGAGATCTGTTTTCGCGACCGCATGCTGTCTGAGAGAGGCTTTCAGTGCGCGCGCTTCGGCTGCCTGTCAGTCAGCGTGAGCAGCGGATTGAGTTCTTTTTCACTGCTTATTGCACTTAATAACTTTATTAAACATAATGCAAGTCCCAAATTCGCGATCGCATGCTGTCTGAGAGAGGCGCTTTCTGAGTGTGTGCTTTGTGTGTCAGTCAGTGCGAGCACCACATTGCACTTGTTGTTGTTGTTGTTGTTAACTCTATCAAGTGCATCCCACTCTTTATTTTCTCATTCATGCATGTTTCCTCATCACTCCAAGGTGTATATAACTTTTAAGCAGTACTGTGTTACGCAGATATATTTGCATACCGCCTAACGATAGACACTTTATTCCGTGGTAACGATATATACTGTCATACCGCCCAGCCCTAATGTCTTCTGATGCAAATATTTAATTTTACTACAGTAGATATATTACCTTTTTTTCCTGTCACTTCACTGCTCAGTCCCTAGTAAAGTGTTGGGGTCAGCATGTTACGATGCATCAGTAACTGACATTCCAAGTGTGTCTGAAGCCCATATTGAATTTGGCTGGCCTATTTTGTGCAGTGTTTTTCTCCATTGGAGTTTACATTTGAAGAACTGTGCCCAAGCCCAGAAGCTTACGATAAAATGTCTTTTGGTTAGGATGATGCTTTTCCTACTGCCACTTCGTGGGGTGTTTGGCAGCAGACCGATTGACGTTGCCAGGAAAAAAAGTGGTCAGGAAGCCTGGCCAGTGTCTTTTTTCTTAGCTTTGGGAAACGGCGACGTGTGTCACGGATGAATTAAAGCAGGCAGGATGCAGCCCAGCCAGAAGTGCAGTCTAAGTTCAACAAATGCCATAGTGTGCATCGGCCTTGCAGGATCACAAACACACAACCTCAAAGCTATCTCTGACATGATGGAGCAGGGGTATGTTGAAATGCCTGTTTGAAGAGATGCTTATTTCTTGTATCTCTCACCATCTTCAGCCCCATCTTTGAAGTGGTGTTGTCTAAGTGGCCTACTTTGTTGTCTAAGCCCTGCAGGACTACACCAGCCCTGAACAATAATATGGCTGCCGGTCAAGTGGGAGCGGCATTGCATACAATGGTGGTATTGCAGGCGTACCAAGCTGATGACCTTAAAGATATGGATGAAATTTCTTGCTTGACTCCCGAGACAGTCAAAGAGCTCAGTTGAACAACTGAATTAGCGCGTTAAGTCAATAAGCATTTGGCTCGCACAATCCGTCGTTCTATGAGAGGCGACCGAGAGACAACTGTGGTTCAACCTCACAGATATCCATGAGAAACAGAAATCGGTTGGGTGCTCCTGTTGCTTAGTTGAGGCATTTCGCAGACACAGTGAATGCTGTTGTCGTTAAGTTTCCCACAGCAAAGAAACAATCTACTGCTTTTCAGCAAACGATTCCCCGCGGGTTCAAGAGCCTGTGGCGCCTGTGCGACGATACTGTTCCAGCTCTCTGCAGTTTCCTCAAGAGGAGCCGAGAAGCAGCCAGGTAGTCTGGACTCCCCCTAAAAAGGACTGGGGTCAGTGGCCTTGCTCAACAGCCAATTTGTGCTTCCTTGACCTACTGTGCCAAAGGGCTCATCCTGCGTCAAACCATTAAAGCCTAATTGCTTTTCTCCTCACTGCCCTTGAGATTCTGTTCTGCCAGTTTCTCTGCGTTTTCCATCTTGGCGAACAGCAGATCAACAGCTCCTCACTCATATTCTGTGCAACAACGCCTTCAGAGCACAGGACTCTCGCCTCGAGTCACATGTTTACAATGATTCTCCTGTTTTGTGACAGGTTTTTGGGAAGGCCTGCAACAGATAGAGAGGTATTCTATACCCCTCCTATCTCATGGCTTTCACTATTCTGTGCACTGTCAGACAAAAACTTCGGCTTCCATAGAAAAGGGGTATACCATCCTGCCTGCCTCATCACAATGTCAGGTGTGTCCTGATGGTTCAGATTTTTTTTGCGGGAGCCATAGATGAAATGTGTCCATCGCAGAGGGAATCTAATTTCTACAGCAGTTTTTCCTAGTGCTGTCCAACAGCGGTTTGATTCCAATCCTAGACCTGCATCTACTGAACTTTACTATCAGAAAGTGCAGTTTCAGAATGTTAACACAGATGCACTGAAACACAGGAAAGCAACTCCAGGGCAAACATGCTTTGAATTACCTTGACGATTGGCTGATTTTGACAAGGCTGTTCTCAATCACCAACAGAAGCTGGGTCTGAAAATAAACCTTCAGAAGAGCGTTTTGTTGTCGGGGAAACAGACTGCTTTTCTGGGAGTAGATCTGAATTCATACACAATGTGCAAATGAGACTGTCTATTGCTCATGTCCATTCGTTTCGCCTTTGTCCGAATCAATTCGGACAATTCCTGTATTCCTGCAAGTCTGTTTTGCAGACTTCTGGGTCTCCTGTCCGTGGCCTCACCGATGGTAGCACTGGGTCTATCCCACATGAGGCTGTTTCAGTGGTGGGTCAACAGCTGAGGAGTTTGTCCCGGTTGGCATCCTCACTGCACTAAAGGGGTTACATGCAAATACTATTGGACCCTGTTAACTCGGAAACATCCCCGGTTGTTGACTCTGGTGGTACCTTTGGGGTGGATTCTGTCAACACAAGAATTATGACAAAAGCCTTGTCAGTAGTCAACAAAGGTCCCCAGTTTATGAAGGTGTGCCGAGTCTGAAAGGGCTATCATCACATGCGGTACATAAATGGGGATGATGCCGCTATGCCTACTTTTGAGCCATTTCCTTCTGAACAATTGAAGCTGTCATGTGGGGGTCTGTAACATGTAGTTTCTTACATAAATCACCAGGGATTTTCTTCAGTAACTTTCTTATTTTTGGGGCTTTTGCATAGAGGTGACTGGAAATGAAATCATGAAATGACATGAGCCGGATTCAAACTTAGGTTGCTGCATAAGCACCACTGCAACAGAGTATGTGCCGTTTGTGCCACATTTCTGGCACAAAGCATTCATATTACAGATTTGTTTACACATGACATAAATACAGAACTTTTGTGGCAATGACCCAACTCCTTGAAATACAGAAGATCAATTGCTTTTCTGCTCACACATGACCTCTAGATAGAGATATTTATGGCAATAACTGAACGTGTGAAAATGTCTACTGATCCAAAAGAATGATGTTTCAGACATAGTATGAGCATCATGCAATCCTTTTAACTTTCTTAGCTGTACATGAAATCATGTCATGTGACTGAGCCGCCATTTAAATGTCACATTATGCCTGACTCCATTTAAACGAAGTAAATGAGTGGAGCGCCCATGAGAGACTGTGAAAGTTGGCAATAATCCCATGCGTGTGAGTGGGAAATGTGACAAAAAAAGACAGGAGAAAGACATGATAATCTAGAACAGGGGTTTTCAACCTGTGGGGCGCGCCTGTCAAGGGGGGCACGAGCATCAGTTAATTCAGAGACGTTCCCTTGAGAATTTATGAATATGAGTTAACAAATCTTTAGCCATCCACTAGGGGGCAATCTGACTCCCACTGCTAGTCGACAGTTAGAGCAGAGTTGGCTCGAGTATCAGTCATGCTCAGTGTTGCCAAGTCCGCGGTTTTCCCGCAGAATTGGGCTACTTTAACACTTGCCGCGTTTTGTAGTTTTGGGCTAGTTTTGAGTAGCAATTAGACGGGTTTTGTTGTGAAAACCTGGCAACCCTGTGTTCGCTGCTTTAATAGCTTTAATGGATATTTGCTTTTATGTTAATGTTAATAAAGTAATTCGGTGTGACTACAGTAATACTGGGGGGTGTTGGATGTTGGGGGGGCGTGAGTGAAATTAGACAAACTTGGGGGGGGCGCATGTCCTAAAAGGTTGAAAACCCCTGATCTAGAACATGAGAACACTGCATCCGAGCCAGGCGACATGCGTATCAAGCAATAAATCATATGGTTTGGTTTCTATGTGTGTTGATTAGGGAAGCTCCAAACACTAAAGTCTTGCTTCACATAATTGCATCAGTTATCAAATATGATGTGATTGGCCGTGATTGTGTTACTACATGATGCATTTTGCTTTCAACGAGGACAGTGGACGTTAAGACATTTGTTTAACTGTGGCTGCTTAGGGCAGCGGCAGATGCATTTACAGCAAATATGTACAGCAGCATATGCTTGACAGGCTATTGTAGACAACAGCCGTGTGAGTGTGTTCACCTTGTCGGGGTGCTGTGTGTGTGGTGGGGCCGTAGATGTTGTCAGAGGACAGAGAGCCCTTGAGCGAGCAGGGCTGCTGAGTCTGGACCGGCTCCAGTGGTTCTGACACGGGGCTCAGCGTGGCTGTGCTGGATCCCACTGAGCTGTTACCCAGATCCGAGCTCTTGACCGGAGACCCCGACACACTGGAGCACGTCTCAGCTACAGGAGAACACAGAGGGTTGACGGTGACGATCTGGGTTTTTATAGTGTGATTTGCTCAGAAAATCCAACTTTCGTTTTGGTGGATAAAAAGTGGAAAAGAATTTAGACAAATTAAAATACAAAGCTGCACAGGTTGCACGCAACTGGAGTAGACTGCATATCTGAAAACGTTATTATTTAAAATATAATTATTTGTACAATTATTCATATAATTACTTTGCCAAGCCAACACACTGATCTACTATTTAAAGGGGATATCAGATGACCATTTTCCACAAGTTGGTGTGATTCTTTAGGGTCTTCATGAACTGTCTGCAACATACTTTGGTTAAAATTCCTCAGTGGTCGTGTAAAACAAAACCCTTTTTACTTTGTCAAAAACAGCTCTGTTCACAGCGAGCCATTTCAGTGCATTTCTCTTTAAATGATAATGAGCCACTGCTCACCCCTCTCTTCCGCTTTTGGTGTATTTGGTGGTGCGTTACCATCAAAAACAAAACTAATGCACTGCGTCCTCAGTGGTTCTGATGCCGGGAGAAAATGAAGACTCTTATGTTCACTTTTACATCCAACTACAAAACACCTGCATTGCTTATGAGTCATTGCTGTTGCTGCAGCTGCTCGAGAGCGGAGAAAATGGGGAACAGCGTACAACAGGCTGAGGGTGAAGATATGCTAATACAGGACAGTCTGTCAGTGGTCGTGGGCGGGGCTTGAGCAATATGACGTCATACCGCTAAGAAAATCAAAACAATTTGATTATTGAGACTGTTCAGGTTTTTTGGGGATTATACAAAAGTAGTGAATGGATTTTTATCATTGTAGGGTGGTTGTGTTCACACACTGCTAAGACACATTTATATGCAAATCACCATGTAAAAGTCCCCTTTAAGCTTCTTCCGAGACCAAATTTCTAACAGTATCTTATCCTAGAACTTGGTACAGATGTTCAGGCTGTTCTAACTCAGAATACCATATCTTTTCTAACTGATCTAACTTAGAGAATTCCCATAAAAGACTTGCAATCAGGTCCAAACCTCCACTGAGGAGGAAAAAACCTTCATACATTAACTTTTAAAGAATATTATTATACACATATCATTGGGGAAAGGTGTACTATAACTTTAAGAAAATCAAACGTACAATAAAATATGCACTGTGGTGCTAAGTTTTGCAGACCAAACCTGTAATTTTTTTTTTTAGATATTAGTTACATTTAAAATGCACTCAATTTACATTAAATGTAAATTATGCAGAAGCCAGATAGCATTCTGTCGACCATGTTCCTCAGGGGTCCAAAATATAGCGAGACCAGCCCTTCTGTCATTTTAAAGCAGGCTCTCCGGCTAGGGCTGAAACTATTAGTCGACATTATCGACAACGTCGACAATAAAAAATTGGCGACAAATTTTTGTTTTCGAGTAGTCGTTTGATCTCATATGACCTAATGTAAGAGCCTGCAATAACGCGGTTTCACCAGTGTGGCGCTGTAGCACAAGACTGTAATTCAGCTCTCCTGATGCAAATCAGGTAATTGCAGCACTTCAGAGCAAACACAGACAAACCAATAGGTTACTTGTGTAACCCCGGTTCTCTGATAGCACTAAGTGAGGTGTCTCACTATGGGATACGCCCCTTCCGCGTATTCCTCAGAAGCCCAATTCCATTATGCCAGCCCCAATAGGCTGGCAGACATGACGTTGCGTCAGGGAGTGGCTTCCTCCCCTCGGTATATAAGGAGCAACGCAACGTCATTACGACATTCTCACTTAAAGCTATCAGAGAACTGGGGTTACGCAAGTAACCTATTGTTCTCTTTCAAGCATACGTTTCGGTGTCTCACTATGGGATATCCTAACTCCCGTTTTGCCAGATAGCCTGTCTCAAAGTCTCCGGCCAACCAAAGAAACTATTATAGGGCTGGTTAAGTCAACACTCAAGATTCAACGCTCAATGCTGCATGTGCAAACGTTTGAGCTGTAACATCCAGTTTATAGAACCTTGCAAATGTGTGTGGTGAGGACCAACTCGCCGCTTCACAGATATCTTGTAACGTGACCCCTTTAAAGAGAGCCCATGACGTCGATATTCCTCTCGTTGAGTGAGCACGTAAACCAGACGGAGGCGTAAGACCCTTACTGGAATATGCAAGAGAAATTGCCTCCACTATCCAGTGGGATAAACACTGTTTAGTAATCGGCTTTCCCGTACGCGGTTTCGCCCAAGACACAAACAGCTGATCACTCTCTCTGAACCCTTTAGTTCTCTCCATGTAAATACTTAAAGCACGCACCGGACATAACGTATTCAGCCTTTGCTGTTCTGCTGAAGCAAAAGGCGGTGGGTTAAAGGCTCTTAACTCGAGAGGAATAATAGAATTGACCACCTTGGGCATAAAGGCAGGATTAGGTTTCAAAAGCGCCCCTGCGTCCCCTGCTATAAATTGCATACACGATGAATGCACCGAGAGTGCGTGAATTTCACTTACGCGCTTCGCTGAAGCCAAAGCTAACAGCAGCGTCGTCTTAAACGACAATAATTTCAGGTCAGCCTTGTCCAGTGGCTCAAATGGAGTCACAGAAAGTGCATCAAGAACCAGAACCAGATCCCATGAATGAGAAATCGGTTTTGAGAGTGGTAAAGCACGACGTGCGCCCTTCATAAACCGGCATACCAAAGGATGCTGCCCAACAGTTTTGTTATCAAAACCTGGCAGATATCGCGGCCAGAAACACCTTTATGGTTGAGAACGCTTTACCCTGATCTATCAGATCCTGCAGAAAAGATAGAACAACTGCCACCGAACACTGAAAGGGAATTACTTGTCTAGCCGCGCACCAATGCTCAAACACGCCCCATTTACATTCATAGAGTGACCGAGTGGACAGGGCCCTAGAATTCTGTATAGTTCTGATGACACTGTCTGGTCTCCTCACTCTGTGAAGGGTTGGGGATATCAACGCTATCGGTGGGAACGCATACAGGAGAGTGCGAGGCCACTCGTGCGCCAGTGCGTCTATTCCCAGAGGCACGCTCTGATCTTTCAGAGAGAAGAACAGAGGGCATTGAGCATTGTCCTGCTACGCGAACAGATCCACTATCGCTCTGCCGTATATGCTCCAAATTTGACCGACCACTTCCGTGTTCAGCTTCCACTCTCCATAAAGGGGCTTTCCCCTGGACAGCAGATCTGCACCCCGGTTCATGATCCCTTGTACGTGCGTCGCCCTCAGGGATAAAAGACTGGCATTGCTCCACAAAATCAGTTTGCGTGCCAACATGTGTAAGGGGAGTGATCTGAGACCTCCCTGCCTGTTTATGTAAGCCACAATTGTAGTGTTGTCAGTTCTCACAAGAACATGATGTCCTTTCAGAAAAGGAAGAAAATGCTTCAATGTTAGAAAGACAGCCAGTTATGACCTTCCTGGCCTGGACAACGCCCATAGGTACCCCTTGCACCAGAAAGCACGGGCGTTGCCAGTGACGCAGTGCCAAGACAGCCACTGATGTCACTCTTACTCTCCTCCGGGAGTGCCGTAATGGGTCCAGTCTCAGAGAGGCTACCCAGCATTGAAACTCTCTCATAAATAGTCTGCCTAGGGGAATGACTATTAGAGCTGAGGCCATCAGACCTAATAGTCTGAGGCATGTGCTAAAAGAAACACTGTTCCCTTTCCGAAATTCGGCCAGGCATTGTGTAAATTTTATTACCCTCTCCACTGACAGTCGCGCTCTGAATATCACTGAGTCCAGTAACAACCCCAGATACGTTATTGACTGTCTGGGAACTAAAACACTCTTTTCGGTGTTTAATTTTAATCCCAGTTTCTATAGATGTTCTAGGAGCATGGCTGTGTGATCTCTTGCTTTGTGCTCCGATTGAGCTGTCACCAGCCAGTCATCTATGTAGGTAGCGAGACGAATGCCTTTCTCCCTGAGCGGAGTTAGGGCCGCTTCTGTACATTTCACGAATACCCCCGGGCTGAGGGACAGGTCGAAGGGAAGGACTAGATATTCGTATGCCACGCCAAGGAATGCAAACCTCCGAAATTTCCTGTGGGGTGGATATATTCTTATGTGAAAATATGCATCCTTCAGGTCGATTGAGGTAAACCAATCGCCTGGGCGCACCAATTTCAGAAGTATAGAATGGGTGAGCATTCTGAACTTGTACTTCCTTAGGTATTTGTTCAGTGCACGAAGATCTAATATGGGACGGAGAGCTCGAGTCCCTTTTTGCAACATTTTTTGGGGCATTATGTTTTGCAACATTTGTTGGGTAAACGGTGAAAACTTTATTGAACTTTGAGCATGTAAAGTGCTTGTGACTAGTGGGTGGGTGTGCACCACTGCATCGTCTCTCGTTCTATTCACTGCTCTGCATCCCCTGGCACAACTTGGCTCTGATTTCCCCACAGAACATCCGTAAACATCTGAACTTGCTTTCTGCTGAACGCTGAACAACTGAGGGTCGGGGACTAGCGAACGGGGGGTGGGCTATGAGCCCCCTTCCCTCAGGAAAACCCCTTCAAACGGCCTTTTTCTTCCTCCTCATCACCTGGGTAGAATGAGGAGCCGGCTGGTCCGTCTGAGCTGTTGCGGGCGGATAATTTTTCCTGGTCCAGGCGGGTTTCTGCTCTGCTGCGCCGCTCTGACCTGCCGCTGCATTCACACGCGGTCTCTGTCGCTTAGGAATGCGAAAGCTGGGGGGTGGGCGAGCTGTAGCCTGCGCGAAGGTCTGCCAAGGAGGTGGAGGAGGCGCAGTCTGCGTCCTCCTTGGCATGCAGAGCTGCAAGGCCTCGTCATCCCTTTTCTTCTCCTCGCATCTCTTTAGCATCCATGTCAGCGCTGAGACGAAAATGCCTTCTGCGACGACCGGTGCATCTAAAATGGCTTCCTTTTCCCTATCGGAGAGATTAGCCAAATTAAGCCATTCTCCTAAATGACCATTGTGGCCATGGCCTTGCCCACAGTCTGAACGGCACATCTCTGAAGACGGAGCGAGAGATCTGTGATGATACAGATTTCCTCCCACTGTGCCTGACTTGGCGTGGCAGACACCTCGTCTTGCAGCTCCGGCTGGTATGCGGTGAGCAGAGAGATGGCTTTCATGGCCCGGTCTGAGAGCAGACGTCATTGCAGAGATCAAAGCTTGATCTAGCTCAGGACTGTTTTGATTATCATAACCCTATAAGCTATTTTAAGAGATTATGTTGTGAATATTAGTTTATAAAATAAAAACGTCTTATCACTTAACTTGTGTGCCAAATATATTTATTTGTATAAATTAATTGTATAACTGTAATTACATAATATGACTTTCAAAAGCTGAAGTGATTACCTTAATTTATTTGTTAGAATATGTATAACTCAATATTTTAACTAATTGCAAAAGCTGAATAATCAATAAATGTCTACTGATTAATCAGCGAAATAATCGATGAATCATTCTAATAATCGTTAGATTAATCGATTATCAAAATTATTGTTTGTTGCAGCCCTAACTCCGGCCCACACAGACTTTCGCATACATACTAGAGCTGTTGCTTCGGTTGTTCCTAAGCTGTTGCACCATGGGATTGAGCAGTCGGCTTCCCTTCAGCTTGTGTTTGGAGGCTCTGCGGCGGCGGCCTGTAGGCGGCACTGCATGCAAGAAGCCCATGCTGGGAGGAACCGGTCGACCTAACCGAGAATACAACTGTTCGATCTCTCCTCTCTGATGAGCCTGAAGCTCGGAGATCTCCTTCATGTGCCTGCAGACATCAAACATTGTGTTACGGTTTTCATTCTCTTATTTAGCGAAAAGTGTATTACCTGTGTTAAGAAATGAAGGAGGGTGAGTGGCGGTAAATGAGGCCTTTGTGAGGCAGTTTTCGCTGAAACGCTTTGAGCTTTACTCACTTCTCTCTCAGCTTTTGCAGCTCTCGTTTCATATCAGTGTCCTCAAATTCAGAGTCGTTATCACTGCTGACGTAAGCGGAGTGGGCGTGGCCGCTAACTGAGGGGGCGTGTCCGTTCACCAGAGGACAAGGGGGCGAGTCGGAGCTTTGGACACTGCTGCTGTGACCCGAGTGCCGGAGGAAAGCCACCGCCCGCTTCATGAAGTCCCCGCCGCTGCACTCTGACGGGCCAGGAGCTGGAGAAGTGGGCTTAACAGACAGAATCTCGCTCTGACCCTCCTCTCCTGTGTCAGAGGACAGGTACTGCGCTGTCCCATCCGCTGACAGCAAGCTCTGAGCGCAAGGCATTGTGGGTCTGGCCTCTGGAAAGGAAGTAGTTGTGTCCTGAAAAAACAAATGCAAATGAATGACAATGTCAGACAAAAGAACAAAATGTATGCAAATACAAAAAATAAATACTTAAAATCAAGTAAATAGTTAAATAAATAAAACATTTTAATTGATGGATTCTGTGTTTGGAATGGAATACTGTACAGTATGTGAAACATTAACATTTCAAAAAGTAGTGTGCAACATTGCTGTCACATGACCTCATCATGTTACATGTTTAATTCAGTGGGTCTTAACTTCTGACAGTCTGATCAAATAATGAGTCAGGAAAGAAATGTTGAATCATGACGGTCATTCCTCTCATGTCACACTGGAAATGAAAGGTCAAGTGTACACTACACATTTTGACAAAAACATATGTGGGTTACACTGGTGTTACTGTGCATAACATACTGGTATACAGTATGCTATTTCAGACGAACCCTGCGCTTCAGACAAACCTGATATAAGTCAGGAGGTGCTGAGTAACGGTTGCTTTGTGACTTTGATGTGGATCTGTGTCTGTTCTCAGTTACAGGAACAGACTCAAAATCAATCACATGATCTCCTCCACCATCATGAGAAGACACATCTGAATCTGTCGGCTCAATCTACAGGACACAGAACGCTATCAGACTGTGACCTGTCATTTCAGAGAAGCACATTATATAATTTATATATTTTTAAAAAAATCACTGGTAACCTGGACGTTGCTCTTAGAGGTGTGTGTAGCAGAAGCGGCCCCGGAGTCTTTTCTGGTCAGAAGTCTTTTGAAGGCTGATCACCATTTGGAAAAATAGAAAAGAAAGAGACGCACAACAATAACACAGCTGTCAATTGTGACAATTCTTTGCAGTCTGCAGTATATGTATATATCCAGAATCTAGATTAGCATGCTTATACACACACTTACGGGCAACAGCAGAATCACTCAAGGTCCCGAGACTGTCAGACCTCTCTGGAATCTGAGGCTACAAGAAACAAAGACAACGTTAAAGAAAACCTGAGAATTATGGTATAACATAAAAATCATTTTTCCCACAGAACTAACATCAACAAACTAAAAAAAACAGCATCCAAGACCTAAAACCTGCACAACTCACAAATAGCTATTTAAAGCCACATTTTTTTTTAGATAACATCAACTGTATTTATTTAGCAAATAATGTTGTCCAAAGCAAATAAAAATTGAGGTTTATACAAACACAAGTGATTCAGGGTGATTTTATTCTGCCATTATGAAATATTTTTAGGTGCTTCTGCACTGCACTGTGCCGTCCAGCAAAATTAATGAAAATGGATGGGTTGGGATATAACTATTTCTTCAGAGAAAAACCAGATTGAAGGTAACCGGTTGACAGTTGTACAGTCTATTTGGCCATTTCTACTCCTCTGGTGCTAATAAACAGAACTATATTTCTACAAATATCCAGTTTTCAACAATCAATTGTTCACTACAGAAAATCAAGTGTAACAGGTTTTAACACACAAAACATAAGATAATGTTACTAAAAAACAAGGAAAAAATACATTTATTTTAATGATGGTAACAGGATTGATGTATAAAAACTGGTTATTATTCAGAACTGGTTCCATTAAAAAGACTAAAGATTTCTTCTGAATTTCATCTGAAATCTTCCGCAAAGTGGATTCCACTATTTGACGGTGCTATGCCACTACTGAATCTACCACACCGTGGTAAAAATGATTTTTCTGAGTTGTGAGTTTGCAGTCTGACTTGAATGAGATGATGTAAGAAAAGAGTAGGATAAAGACAACAAGACGACAAGACATCTTTTGCGCCTTTCCTGCTAGTTGCACATAACACACAATACATGTGACCAGTGTGGGCAGATTCATTAACGAATGAATCGTGACTTATGAATGAACTGCTCCTATGAGCCTATTCTCTTGATAAATCTGTCAAAAAGTCTCATGAATCAGCACTAATAACTTGATTCAGTTAAATAACTGAACTGACTAGAGCACAGTTACCGTCACGTCCAACTCAAAAGAAGTATGTATCAAAATAATGTATCCGAGACTTCAGAGCAAATCAGTGTAGTAACTAAAAATGTGTTACTAAAATCAAGATTTGTTGACCCTTGAATATTTTAGCAATTATTCTTAACAAAACATCCTGACAGCTCATTGTTTGTGAATGTGAGGAGGACTGACTGTACCAGTTTTTCTGCATTCCTTACGGCTCCATCACTGCCCTGGCTGTCGGACAGCGGAGGTGATCCGGGCGGCTCGGAGGTGGAGCTCGCGGTTTGCGAGGGGTGGTACTCTTGGTACAAAAGGTTTCGCAGTTTCTCATCCAGAGTCTTTATGGTTCTGTCTGCAAACTCCAGCCTGGGCGGCCCTTCCCCGTCTGATTCGCCCGGCTGCACCTGCGGGGCGTTCTGGGGCTGATGGGTGGGGCTCTGAGGCTGATGGGTGGGGCTCTGGGGCTGATGGGTGGGGCTCTGAGGCTGTGATTGGCCGCTGCTGACCAAAGCCTGTGGAGCGGGCGTGGAAAAGGGCTGAAGCAGCACCACGGGCGGGGTCTGGGTCTGGCTGACGGGCGGCTCCACGCCGTGGCTGCTGCTGCAAGCGACCGGCTGCTGAGGGACCTCCGCCGCTTTCTGAGCAGAGACGTCCAGTGAAACGGGAGGCACAATGGGGCAGCATGGGATGTCAGGAACCACAGCTGCGCAGGCAGCCTGAGGGCCCACGGCCGACGGAGCAACCTCAGAGAGGGACGCCTGTGGCACCGATGGCCGTTTCTGCAGAGGTTTGGCTCT